TGCAAATTTCCAATGATGAATGTCATTATATTGTATACCTAAATTGTACCAATAAAATAAAACAAAAAAATTAAAACAGTTTAAAATTTTAACTTGAGAAAGAAGTAACTTGAGTGTAAATCTCCAACTGTACAGTGCAATAAATTACAAAACTGTAAAAATTTGATATTTTGTGATCATCTCTAAATAGATATAAAGAAAATATAAAAAGCTTATTAATTCTGGTTGTATGGAGAAGCTGAATTTATTTAGATTGAAGAATCCAGTATGGCTCAGTAATAAGATGAACATCTTTTACTGTATCAATTATTAATGAAAGAAAATGTATACTAACATATATCAAAAAAGATAACAATTTAAAATATAACCTCTAGAAAGAGAAATAATAAATAGGAAAAATGAAAATCTAGATAGCACCATTGACTGGGAAGCATTTTTCAAATACCCCAACCTCTGTGGACCTTTCTTCTCTGGCCAGTACGAAGGTAGAGGGTTGAATTCTGGTTTAATCAGATGTGTTCAAGAAACCCAGGTCATATGAGTTACAATTTTCTCTCATGCACTTAAAAATCTAACTTATTGTTAGTTCACCAACTCAGTAGCCCAACAGAGATTATTTAAACTTCTGTAAATTTACCCCCAGCCCTAGTAAATGAATAGGATGGAGGAGTAAAATGAAGTAAAATAAATCAGTCTAGGGAAAGGCTTCTTAGATTTGCATTGTATAGCCCATAGATTCTGGGTCTCACTTGTAAGCAGAGAAAGTACACAGGCATTGGGCCTACCCAAAATTTACCTTCCTACCTGGCAACTTCCTAGGTGCACAACTGTGGTCCTCAGAGATTATAAGCTTCCATGTGGAATAGGGATAACAATATTCTCTGTAGGGTTCATGTGAGGATTTAATGTGGTTGTGGTGTGTAAGTTGAGTAGAACAATAGTTGACCCCCAATAATTACAAAGGCACGGGACATTTATTAAGTGCTTACTAAGAGCCAGACATTTTTCTAAGCAATTTATTCCTAGTAGCTCATTTAATCCTCATAACAACCATATGAGATAATCATTATCATTTGACAGATGAGGAAACTGAGACACAGGCAGTTTCTGTAACTTGCTTAAGATTATAGGTGATAGAGCCAGTAGCTCCTGCTGACACTGATTCTCCTCAGGAAGTCAGTCAGTGGTCTGTGTCTTTAAGTCCAAGACTTGTGCCTGCCCCTTCAGTACCTTCTAGGTTCCATTCCTTGTCCTACCAGATATGAAATTACATTATGTCTTCTCCATAAAATCCAACCACAGTCCTCAGTTCATGAATCTCAGGGACTCCTTCGGACATCTGTCTGCAGGGGTGGCATTGTGTACCATTTTACCTGCTATCTACTCTCCCCTCAAAGCTAAAATTCACCAACTCTTTTGGAATTATCTCAGGAGCAGCAGCAGTTTCAGGGTAGGCTGCTTTTCCTCGGAATTTTGGTGTAGAAAATGTCTTTAGTCCTGCTGAATCTTCATGTGATCTTCCCATCTTCCTATTCCCTCCTCTCCACTTGTCAAGAACTGAATTTTAAGTAAGGCTAGTCCTTAAACCAGACTAAAGAAGCATTTGCCCCCTTAAAATACTCAGTCCTGCCTGCTTCACTCTTTCATACTGTAGTGAGTCAATCTGATTAGAGGTTTTCAGCTGCTGAAGAAATAGATCAGTGAGAGAATGGGAGATCTTTTAGAGCAGAGCTTTTCAAACTTTAATATGCATAAGGAATCACACGGGAGGCTTGAAATGAAGATTTTGATCCAGCAGGTCTGGGGCCTGAGTGTCTACATTTCTAACAAGTTTCTGATGACTTTGGTAATGCTAGTGTGGAACCACACTTTGGGTAACAAGCATTTAAAGTCTACATTGTAAGATGGCATGTACCATTTAACTTACTCTGGTTACTTTTTCAGACACATTTACTCTAAAGAAATGAACTCTTTTAGTAGAATGTAGTTCATGTGGCTGGCTTCTAGGAGAAATGTCACCATTCAAACCCTACACCTAGACAACATACTAGTGAAGCTATTTTGAGTTGCTTTGGGAAAAGAATAATATAAACCTGTCTGTCTTATAGTCAAGTTTTGATATAAACAATGTAAAAACAGATAATTTCCTCCATCAGTATTTGTAATTCTTAAATGATATATAGTACTTTTTTCCTTAACTCCATTTGAAAGCATTGCTCTGCTGCTGTTCAAGGTTGAATATCCCACAACTAGGGAAATAGATGTCTAAACTTACTCTGGTACAAGGGCCACATGTATGTTTCAGTATCTGTTGCGTTGTTCCTCTGGTAGCACTTACAGAAAAAGAATATGAAGTAGGGCTGGGGATTTAGCTCAGTGGTGCCACTGCCTGCCTAGCAAGTGCAAGGTCCTGAGTTTGATCCCCGGTACCAAAAAAAAAAAAAAGAATATGAAGTCAACTTCTATTTCCCTGTCTTTTGATTTGGAGTCTGGTCCCTAGGAATGTTTACAAATAATTGTTAGAAATGGCTTGATAATGCTGATCTGGATAATGAGATCCCACATGTGGAGATTCAGTGTGACCGTGACCACGAGCCTCCTATGAAATGATGTGACTGATTCTCCTTGTGACGGTGAAGGCTTATGTCCTCTTTCTCTTCTCAGGGAGGCGAGCACTGTTACTACCAGGGCCAGATCCGAGGAAACCCTGCCTCATTTGTTGCACTGTCAACGTGCCATGGACTTCAGTAAGTGTTCAAAAATTATTTGCACTACTCATTCTTTCATTAGTGTATTTGTTTTTTTTAGTACTGGGATTGAACTCAGGACCTGGTGCTTTTGAGGCAGGTGCAGTGCCACTGAGCTAAAATCCCCAGCCCCGTAGTGGTTTTTATATTTTTACAGATTGATAGAAATTTCAGTAGATGGCAGCTTGTCATAAAGACAACAGGATGCAAGTGATGTTGGAGGCTGCTGTGCTCCAGACTTTTTTCAGCCAGAATCCCACCTACCTCTTAGCAATTTGTGTGAGGACCTATACGTTCTCAGAGCTTGCTGAAGAGTGGAGTTCCTTGACCCTGCTCTTTTCTCATGCCCTTCACTGTCACACAGTGTTAGCTGGTGTGTAATGTGGGACCGCACCCCTTCCCTCTTCCTGTATACCAGGGTGACACAGATGGCCTCCTCTTACTTGTTTTACCTCTTCTACACTACCGTGCCATTCCTCAGCATTCTGGTTATACTAAAATTGTCTCATTTCCTTCTTGTTTATTCTACTTTTTTTTTTTTTTTTGGCACAGAGCAAGCTAGCACTTTAGTTTCATTAAGTTTTGGTGGAAAACTTCAAAATACTTCTTTTCTGTTACCAAGTTAGAGTTGGGCCTTTTTCATCAACAAGCAGTACTGCATTTGTTTTACACCAGCCACTGGCAAAATCAAGGCAGTTAAGACCTCAGTTTTGAGAGCTCACAGTCTCGTGGGGAGGGCAAATCTAGCCCAGCTTCCTGCAGACGTAGGTAATAAGTACATTTGTTTCTTTATGAGAAAAGAAAAACTGGGAAAAGTGCAAGCTGAGAGTTGGTACTGAAGAAGCAGAACTCAAAGTGGGTCCCATGACAGGCTTTGATAGAATCATCCAAGGAGGGGTATTAGATTGGCAGATGGTAAACCTGGAAGAGAGGTCTACTGAGAAAGGATAGAGATCTGGGTGTGGGGGCACGTGCTTATAATTCCAACCACTGTGGAGGCTGAGGCAAGAGGACTGCAAGTTTGTGGCCAGCCTGGGTAACAGCGTGGGATGTAGCCTGGTGGTAAAGAGTTTGTCTAGTGTGTTCAATCCCCAGTACCACAAACACACAGGAAAAAGAGAAAAAGAAAAAGAAAAAGACTGGAGAAGCTAGCTTGTCTGCCAGTGTGAAGCTTTGGTCAGGCTCTTGACAGTAGGTGTGTTAGAGAGGCAGAAAGTAGAGAGTGTGAGGATCGGTAACCGGAAGAGGGGTGGTGCATAGAAAATCCCCATTTTCTGTTGCTTGTTGGAAATAAATTTGTAAGTACATTCTTGGAGTAAAGAGAAATTTATATAAACATGGAATCCATGCTTAGTTATCTGAGGGCTCTGGATTTTTTATTCTATAAAAGAAATGCTGACATTCTTTTCAACAGTAAAAGTGTTACATCTGATTTCAGTAACAACAAAGCTAGTGTTAGGAGTAGGATAGTTGAGCTTGTCAATATTTATTTATTTATTTATTTATTTGGTACCAGGGATTGAACTCGGGTCCTTGCGCTTGCGCAGCAGGCAGCGAAACCACTGAGCTAAATCCCCGGCCCAAGCTTGTCAATATTTATTACGGCAAATATATATTAGAGGAAAGAGTGATATAAAAAAAGGACCTTTTCCCCTCATTTCTCTTCTTAAAATCTCCAGCTCATGTCACAACATTGTGCTCAGTTATTGTTCCAGTTTGCTTCCCAGTTTTCCAAATAGACACAAAATTGTGCTAATCAAAGAGAAGGTTTTAGTGCCTTTTATAGGTTCTATCAGACATGAGAATCTAAAAGCCATAGCTTGCTCCTAATCTTACCATAGTCATTTAAAAGAAGAACAGAACAGTAACTTTCAGGACATTTTATAGTGATGGATCAGGAGTAGAACACCAAATCGTGGCTCCATTGTTTTAACTAAGTGTATTTGACTTCTGCCTTCAGAAACGTTTGCATTTAAAACTAAACAAAAATAAACAGAACGTGGCCAGAATTGTGTGCAACCATGTTTGAGCTTTCTTAAATTGCTGTGAGAATGTTAGATAAATATACTGTTGAATCTTTATTGTTTATTATTACTTCTCATCTTGACTTTACCTTCTGAATAAAAATCGCTCTCAAAGGGCCGGGGATTTAGCTCAGTGGTTCCGCCGCCTGCCTTGCAAGCGCAAGGACCTGAGTTTGATCCCCAGTACCAAAAAAAAAAAATCGCTCTCAGAAATATTTTTGGGTGGATATTCCTAAATACTAAGATAATATAGGTTGTCTCAGTTGTGGTATTTTAGACGTGAGATCTATTATTTCACACATGGCTCATCTTTTTTACAAAATTTGAGGTTTATTCACTTTTCTGATTTACTGAATTTAGTTGAAGAACATAAAAGGCATCAGATTAATAATGTCTTTTCCATAAAGAACTGTAAGGGGCATTTTTTTAATGTCAAAGACTAACAAGCAAATTTTGATCTCAGTGTGTTTGGTGTTATGACAAAATCTTGTAACTATGGGAAGCTCAAAGAATGGAATCAAATATAAGCTTATTGCCCTCTTGTGGAAATTTGTCAGAATGGCTGCTATTTCAAAATATTTTGATTCAGTTTCATAAAATTTTAGATAAATTGGTCTATAAGGACTTGGTCCTAGCTACAGGTTTTTAATCAAGTGCATATATAGTGTTAGGGACTCAATATACTTACTAGACTTTATATTATTATAACAAAAAAGTAGCAATGAATAAAACACATGTATGTTTTGATTATTAAGAAATTGCTAATGAGGGCCGGGGATTTAGCTCAGTGGAGCCGCTGCCTGCTTTGCAAGTGCAAGGTCCTGAGTTCGATCCCCAGTACAAAAAAAAAAAAGAAATTGGTAATGGCATATTGTTATAGGAAGTGCATATCTTCTGGGTATAGACAGTGTCAGAATCTATTTCCTTATACTGTATACTGTATGATGTATACTGTAACTCAAAAGTAAGAACTGATTGTCCCACTGGTTATTAACCTAATGCAAGGATAATAGCACTTAGTGTTATTTAAACAAAATAATCTCCTTGCTTCTTAATTAGTGTTGCCATGTGAACTTTGGCAGTGGGTAATGTTTTATATGATTTTTCTGGAAGGGGGTGGCCAGTTCTCAGCAGAGGGAGAAAGAATGTTCACTGCCATATTTTGCCTATTGTTTTGAAAAGGACCCCCTCTCTGATTCCTTAGGCATATGTCTTGAGTAATATCTTATTAACTACATCTTTTTGTCTTTAAATTCCAAATCCAAATTCAGAAAGTACACTTGTAGTTGAAAAATCTGCAGATGGGAGAATAGCCATTCTGAGGGTATATAAAGGTTTAGGACATGTGGAAGATGTTAAAGTAGGAATGAAATAATTTGGATAGAGGCAGAACTGGAGCCCATTATAATTAGAGTACAGGAAAACCAACCAATGAAAGACAAATACTCTTCTATGTGTAACAGTTTGATTGTCATGTAGTCCTTTCTACACTAAACTGATTACTGCAGATCACAAAATTGCTCCCTTTAGATGCCTGAATGGTAAGCTTCTTTGGATCATTAGGGGCCTGATTTTAGTAAAAGGCTCATTCTATTCTTCTAAAAGGAGCAGCTGTCTGGATCTCACTGGTAGGAGTCAAGGCCAGGTGTATCTTAAAATACCTTCTGGAGAATTTCTCAGATACCAGAGAGCCACCTCTAGCCTAAGAGATCCAAAACCAGTCTCCTGATTTGTGCCCTGTTTCCTTGGGTTTGTCCTGTTGTGCTCTTCCTGCAGACTTTTTCATATTGTCAGACATTTGTTTGTGTATTGAGACAGGGTCTCACTATGTGGTTCAGGCTGGTCTTAAACTCAATGCGCCTCACCTCCCGAATGCTGAGATCACAGGAGTGCGCTACTGTGCCTAGCTCATCTTGTCAGATGTAACTCCAGTTTTCCAGTTGTTCAGGTCAAAGCCTTGGAGTCCTCATTGACTCTTTCTTGCACACTCCTTATCAAATCAGTCTATAAATCCTGTTTGGTTTTACTTTCAAACTATATCCAGGCTGGGGCTGTTATTCAGTGGAAGAGCATGTGCTCTGCGTGTACCAGGTCTTGGGTTCAATCCACAGCACTGTGTCTAAGTCTTAGTTATTTTTCTCATCGCTGAGACAAAATACCTTACATCTAAAAATAAAGGAGGAAAGGATTATTTAGCTCACAGTTTGTAGAGAATTCAGTCCATTGCCGGCTGGCTCTGAGGCAGGGTGGCATGGCACAGGGGCATGGCAGAGAGACAGTACATGGCAAAGCAGGGTAGACAAAAGGCAACAAGCAGCAAACAAATGCAACAGCAGAAGCAGCCTTTGTATTCTATCCAGGCTGTAAGCATATTGATTAGTGCCACTTAATCCCAGCATCACACACGCTAGATCTAGCCGCTTCTGAAAAGCCCCACCTATGACCGCATGAAGCTTTTGGGAGACATCTAGACACAAGACATAACACACTGGAAATGAAACTAAATGAATGTCTAGAATTTGGCCCATTCTCACTTCTTCTTCTATTACCGTGCTGATCTAAGCCACCGTCTTCTTCTACATGGATATTGCAGTAGTCTCTGCTTATGACCCTGCCATCCTGCAGATACTGTAGCCAGCAGCTGGGATTATCATTTCGAAACAGGAGATTGTATTTCCCCTGACTTCAAATCCAAAGTGACTGCTCCTCATCTGTCCCAGAGGGCTTGCTCGTGTGGCCCCACTGACTCTGACCTCAGTTTCCAGCATACTCTCCCTTATCTACTTCACTCCAGCTTCACAACCTGCTTGCTGTTCCTGGAACAACTCAAGCTTCCCTTCCCTTGGGCTTTTATCTTCACTGGTCTTTGTGTAGATATGCTTGTGACTCATCCCTTTACTTCTTTCAGGCCATTGCTTCAGTGCCATCTTCTCTGTGAAGCCTTGCTCTGAGTCCCTCTTTGAATCAGGAGTCCTGTCTCTGGTCCTCCACATCTAGTCTTCTGGCACTATTTGTTGCCTTTAACCTGCTTTTTTTCTTCTGCTCTGAAATTTGTCATCATCTAATACACATTTCCTTATTGTGGATTTATTTCCTTTTCTCTATAGAGTGCACATCAGTGCCATGAGAACTGACTTGGTCTGTTTGTTCAAGCACCTAGAGCATTGTAGGTGCTCATGAATCCATGATTAATGAATGAATGAATAAGCATAAGTAGCAGACTGCACAGGAGCAGATCATGGATCTGTCCTCCATGTGCTCTTATTGGTGATGTAATCTGGCCATGTTACTTCATCTCTTTGGGCTTCTGTTCCCTCACCTGGAAAATAAAGATTCCTTGCACTTCCCTCATATATATGGAAAAGAATAAATGAGTGCAAAATACTCAGTTCATGGCAAATTATTGACATTTGTGAATTCTTACTATTAGAGCATCTTCCAGGTTTATGGTGGCGAGGCCATTCTTGGGATAGTCCCTGACAACCTGCAGCAGAAGCACATGGTTTGTTTAAAGTGTTCAAAATATGAGCAAAGGCCTGAAACCCTGGGTGTCCTTTTGCATATTAAAGGCTTAGAATCATGTGTTAGAGGAGGAGTAATGGACAACAGTGGGAGAATGACAAGGGTTGGAGTCACTGTGAGAGGACCTTAGGTGAGAAATTCAGAACGAGAGGTCTTTGCCTCTCAGCAGTGTGTGTGTGTGCGTGTGTGTGTGTGGTTTGTACGGTGGTGATGGGTGGGACTGGTGCTGTGGCTGCTGTGTTGTCAAATGACCTTGCTCTGCATTGAGAGCTGATGGCTGTGCCTAACTGTGTTCTTGTTCTTGGCAGCGGGATGTTCTATGACGGAAACCATACGTATCTCATTGAGCCCAAAGAAAATGAGACCTCCCCAGTAAGTGCTCCACTTGCAGTGGGAAATGTCAATGTTGCTGCCTAGAGCATTTTTCCTCTCCCCGCCCCCCATTCGTTTTTTGTATTTTTTAAGGATAGGGTAGTAAATATATATTAAATATTGAATAAATCAAAACCACAAGTTTTTCTTTTGTTTCTTCCTCTTTTATATTGGGAGTATTTTCCCTCGGAGCTGTTCAGAAGCCTCCATTTCTTTCTTTTTTTTGGTACCAATGATCGAACTCAGGTCCTTGTGCTTGTGAGGCAGGTGGTGGAACCACTGAACTAAATCCCCGGCCCCACCTCCATTTATTTCTGTCTCCAACATTATGTGCTCTGATCTTTGCTTGGGTTACCATGACAAAATACCATGACTGAGCCATTTTAAACAACAGGAGATATTTTTTTTCCTTCGTTCTGAAAGCTATGAAGTCTAGATGACAGGCCAGCAGGACTGGTGTCTGCTGAGGGCTTGCTCCTGGGATGGCAGAGGGGCACTGGCTTCTCGCTGTGTCCTTATGTGGCAGAGAGGCACCCTGGTTGTCTGTTCCTGTCCTTTTAAGGTCCCGTTTCTGGGTTGGCCCCACCCTTGTGACTGCCTGGAACTATGGTTATCTCATACAGGCCCCATCTCCAGCTCCCATAATGTGCATTTAGGACTTCAGCATAGGAATTTTGGCTGGCACACAAAACATTCAGTCTGTAACAGATAAAACCCACAGCCAGTGTGATTGTTCATTCATCCTCCCCTTTCTAGATTTCAGATTTCTCTTCATTGCCTATTGCTTTTAAGACTCTATGCCAGTGAAATTTAGAGAAACCTAGGACTTCTTAATTCCCTCCCTAACTCTAGTTGAAAATATTTATTTGCTACAAATCAGAAAAAGATCGAATTAATATTATAGACTATAGAGAAATATGATACACTTCCATTCTAGCTGTGGGCCATTTGTGTGAATGGTTCTCCTTATTCATACAACGTTGGTCAAACACTTAGGAAAAAATGATCTCAAGGAATGTACATTGTCACTTGTAAAACAATCATGTTTAGGAAGCTATCTGAATTACATGCTATTTTCTGAGTACCTACTACTGGTTACCTTGTCACTTTGCTTAACAGTGTGATTTTTTACAAAAGGTAATATCATGAAACTTGACTATTTATGACATACTATTTTTTTAGTGATTAAATGAAGCCAGATGAAATTATTCGAATGATCATTAGTTTTTCTTAGAAGAAAAGTGTGACTTTTATCACTTCCTTTCTAATAAAACTGTGTGACTTGCATCTGGGCGCCTACCTGTCCCATCCCCCTGTTCCCATTACCAGGAAATCTGCTACCTCTGAAGCCTTTGCTTACTAAAGTTATCTGGCTTTTAAAAGGGAGCAGGGATCTGTGAAAGGAACCAGTCATAAAAAGCATTAACCCTCTTTGCCAGATGCCTTGCTTTCCTTGGGGGAATAGGCCCATTCATTTATTTTCCATTACTGCAGGCTTCGACTTCTCTGGGAGGCCTTTTCTAATCGGGTATCGCTGTGGTGCTGGGAGAAAGCAGACCCGGGGGAGGGGGCTCCCGAAATCCAGGAGGATGTATAGTGAGGTACTGGCTGCTCTAAGGGTCCCAGAGATATCCAGCTATGCTTGCTTAATCTCTGTTGCTTCTGTCATTTCAGGAGAATTTCCATTTTCATTCAGTCTACAAATCCAGAGTGTTTGAATTTCCCTTGGATGATCTTCCATCTGGTATGGTGCTCATATGGTGGCTTTTTTTTAAAAAGACAACTTCAAGGATTCATTTAATGCTTTAAAACTAATCTATATGTGAAATACCATTAAACCATGATTGTTCATGACATTTTTAGAGGGAAAGTCAGTTGGCATCAAGAGGAAGAACAATGTGCAAAGTAGCCTCGTATTAATAGTTAAAGAGTTTGGAAAGATATGGCTTGCCCACATGGAAGGAGACCTTTAAAAAAGCTTAGATTTGGGCTTGGGCATTTAGCTCAGTGGTTCCACCACCTTTCTCGCAAGCACAAGGTCCTGAGTTCAATCACTGGTATCAAAAAGAAAAAAAAGCTTAGACTCAAAGTAAGAAGTTAGAGGAGAAGTAATTTTATAGCAAGAATTGTTCTGCATAGATAAATACGTAAAAATTCTCTCGTGAAATAATGGTTTTGTAACCATAGGGATGGACTCTTAACTCATTTTCCTACTTATTTTTCTCTTCTTTTTTTACTTCAGCATTTTAAAAAAAATCAATTATAAATTAACCTTTTATTGATGTGCCATTTGTGAAATAACTTTTTACTTTTCAAGTATGTTTATAGGTTGATTTATGTCTTTTGTTTTTGATACCGGGATCGAACTGGGGACCTTGTACTTGCGAGGCAGGTTGGCAGAACCACTGGGCTAAATCCCTGGCCCTGTAGGTTGATTTATATGTCAATGTTGAGTTGAGAGTTGCATCCAGGTCTTCACATAAAAGAACAGCGCATTCATACTGGGCCTTATTAGTGGAGTGGTATTTCTGCAGGGTGACTTTTCCCTGGCTGCACTGGACTCCTTTGTTTCCTTCCTCTGAAGGAGGACACACGCTGAATATCTGGTGTAGAGTTGCTTCCAACCCTAAAAAGTGAATCCTGGCCCTTATAATTTTTAATCTTAGTCCAGTCTTTGCAAAAGCTCTGTAAGATCGATATTATTCCTGTTCCGTAGTCAAAGGAACAGAGGCTCAGCTGGTTTGACTTTTTCAGGCTCCCACAGCTATAAGATGCTGGCTTATGACGCCAGGAAGATATTCTGTGAAAGATGAGTGCAAGAAGAAATGGGAAATTTGCCAGCCTGAGAGCAAATCCTAAACCACTGCTTAGAAAATCACTTAGAAGTTTACTTTTTTCCTTCACCAGAAAATGGGATAAGTGTCTGCCATTGTCCCTCCGCTCTGAAATAAGTTTGTGACTAGAGCAAGGAATACTTCCTCCTTTTGTCTTCTGTGGCCAGAGGGGTAGAGTTTTGCCAAAGGGATAGAAGTTCCTATTTCATAGAATTCACTAGTTTGAAAAATATACAAATAAACACAGAGATGTTCTTACTTTATATAGACTCTTTAAACTTCTCTTCAGTGACCTATGAAACTTTTTATAAACCCTGTTATGGGAAGAAAATAAATCCTGACTAGCTGCATGAGAATAAAGCTATAAATTTTTAGGTATTACTGGGAGCAATCAATGTTAGTTAATATTTAAAGTAATAAAAGCTATGATATGATTATAAGATATGATTATAAGCTTGCTATAATATAACCTTATATCTATATCTAAATCTCTTTGTCTTTGTATCGTGGTGTTAGGGATTGAACCTACGTCTTTCATACTGAGATATATCCCCAGCCACTTTTGTTTTGTTTTGTTTTTTTGAGACAAAGACTCACTAAGTTGCTAAGCTACCCAGCTTGAACTCATGATTCTCCTGCCTCCTGTACTCCTGGAGTGCTGGGATTACAAGCATGTACCACCATGCCTGCCTTCTCATCATTGTTTTTTAAAATTTTGCTCAGGATTCTTCTTCAGAAGAAAATTTGGAAGTGATCTGGCAGTTTTGCTGTTATTACATTCGCTTTTAGATTTATTATTTGAAAACTTAATGCTTGTCTCATTGAGGTTTTAGTTTTCTTATTAGGAGTTAGCACTGTTAATTTTGAGAGTAGTATTTGTTTCTAAAGATTGCTTATGTTTTACTGTGATAAATTACAATAAAACAATAAAATAAATGTCAAAATGTGGGGGCACTGGCCAGAGGTCTGTATGAGATGGATATGCAGAGATAAGGGACCTTTGGCACCAAAGGGCCAAAACCTCCTGGAATGCATGTTGAGATTACAAGGTAAGCTACAGGGCCACAAGTCCAAGTAGGACCAGGACACATTGCCTTAAGGAATGAATGCTCTGGCCCTTTCCTCCCCATACTCCCATTTATCATTGGATTGGCCCTAAGATCAATCATGTAACAGACCATCCTGTCCTTCCCCTGTCCCCTATGTGAATTCTTGTCCCTCTTTTGTCCCTTATCTTTGCTTCTATCAATAAAAAGCCACAGAAGCTTCAGTTCAGGGCTATTTTATGAGATTTTCATGCAGAGGGGTCTTGGTTAAGGGTAGGCCTTCTTGGAGTTTGAATTGGACATTGATTGCACCATGCCATGGTCGTGAACTGCAACATCAAAACTGTACGGTTATTATGTGAAATGAGCTGAAGAATAAGCCTATTTATTTTAAGCTGAATAAATTTTAACTGTGTTATGAATTATCAGCACATTTGTATTGCTATGTGTTATATATTTCCAACAGATGGAAATATAATCCAGTCTTCTCCAATCCTATTTGACTATAGGACCTTTTATTTTACCTGGTACATCTCTTAGGACTAGTGTTGCTAAGAACACATTTTGAGGGAAGAAAAAAAAACTTGTTTTATTTCCTATGGAGCCCTTAGCCATCTTTATAGAATGATATGCAATGAATTTGTGTTCACTGTGTGTATACTCAGTGAGCTTTGACACACACCCTGCTGAGATTCAGAATGTTTCTGTTACCCCAGGAACTTCTTCCTTGCCTTTCTAGGGAGTGCCTCCTATGTCTGCAATCACTTTCCTTACTACTTTGGCATAGAATAGTCTTGCCTGTTATAGGACTTCAAATGGAATCATGCTTTTTGTCTAGCCTTTTTTGCTCAGCATATGCCTATGAGTTTTATGCTGTCAGGAATAGCTATAGTTCATTCTTTTAAATTGTTGAGTATATTCTATTATATGAATACATCATAATTTTTTACTCATTATGTTGATATGTGTTCAGATTATTTCCAGGTTTTGACTATTACAGTTAAGCAACTGTGAACATTTTTGTGCAAGTCTTTTTTGTAAAGACATGTTTTTATTTCTCCTGGTAAATACCTCAGAATGGGCCACTGTGTAGGTATCTGTATAATTCTATAACAATATTCTCAAAATTCAGCACATATCAGAGTCACCTGATGGGATACTAGCTGCAGAGTGCTGCCTCTATCTCAAGAATTTGCAATTAAGTAGATCTTGCTTACTAAATTTTGAGAACATACATTTCCAGCAAGTCCTTAGGTGACTCCGATTTTATTGATTCAGGGATTCTACTTTGAGAACCATTTTTTTATGAAATCTGGCTGAACTTTTCCAGAGTGGTTATGCTATTTTTACACTAATACCATTATTATGTGAGAGTTCTGATTGGATCCAAGGTTTTTGTCAGCTATGTTTTATGAATAGATTTTTCCAGGCTTTGGTTTGCTCATTCACCTTCCTAATGGTGTTTTGTCATAAGCAGGAATTTTAATTTTAACATTCATTTAAAGACATTAGTTTTTATGATTATTGCCTTCTTTGCTCTACACAATATTCACCTGCTCTCAAGTCCTGAGCTCAATGTCTTTACAAAAGATATTCTCCATTATTTTCTTTTAAAAACTCTATAGTTTTATTTTCATTTTTAAATTTAAAAAAATAGCCTGGGATTTAGCTCAGTGGTTTCACCACCTGCTGCACAAGCGCAAAGAGTCAAGTTCAGTCCCCCATACCAAAAAATAAATAAATAAATAAATTTTAAAAAATAAAAATATTTAAAAATCTATTATCCTGCCAAATTATTTTTTATGCACAGTGAAAGACAATGGCTGAACTTCATTTTAATTTTTGTATGGCTATTCAGTTATTTTAACACTATTGGTTGAAGTTTAGTATAATTATTGATATGTTTTGGTTTAATTCTGTCATCTTATTTTTCTGTGTCTCATCAGTTAATTGCAAAAGAGAATTTCTTCTTTTTTTCAAGAAATTACTTGTATGCCCAGGCTAATATCATCTTAAGCAAAATGATGGAGGAGCCTGCTTGAAAATGAAATAAGTAGTTAACATATTAATCTCCTTAGTTTAATATCATTATCTAGCTTCTCTGTCACAGATTTCTCTAACAATGGTTATCATTACTATTCTATTGCAAATATTTTTTTAAAATTTGGAAATAAGTTTAAAATCATTATTGTCTAACAAATCTGTTAAGGTGATGAAAAAGGCACCTAGGTAAACTAATTCAAATGAGTCTTAGCCATAACTTTGGATAAAAAGATCCTTCATAGTTCCTTTGAAATTATATAGTTTGATAATAATAGTGATTTTTTTTCCTGTGAATATAATAAGTAGCTCATAGGATAAAAAAGCACATTTAATCACATTACAGTACAGTGTTGTGATTTCAAAGAACTTTTCAGTTTTATAAATAGTATCCAAGAATCATAATGACTCAACTTTACTGTAATACAGCATCACTCCCCTGAGAGGTTCCAAATTCAACTGTTTGTATTGTTCAACTGTCCGTGTTATAGGAAATCAATACCCTAAGGAGTGGTTGTATTTTTTTTTCATTTTATGAATGAAAATCCTCCCTTACGAATAACCTAGTCTTATATCCAGAGATATGGTGTATAATACTGACCTACAAGTTAAGAGGGGTTCAGATTTTCTTATATATTCCTTGGAGCAAACAAAGCCTGAAACAAATTTTGTTATGGATGAAGAAGACTGTCAGTGAGTTGGAAACAATTAAGTAAAAACTTTAGTGCCCTAAAATAATTTCTTAATATATTGTGAACTTATGAATGTGTGATTATTTTCTACTTAATTCTTAGTGCTGTTCTGTATTTTGCTGCGTCTATAAGGTTGGTAATGGAAGTAAAGATCAAATTGCCTATTTAGAAGATTCTTGATAAAGAATGTGATGGTACTTATAGAATAAATATGAAAAAATTGATAGAAATTAAAACAGGGGTGATGTTTGAAATTTTTGTAAATTGTACCCACCTATTATATATTTACAACACCTACTAAATGAATGCCCTATGTAATAATAAAATGACATATGTTATAAAAGTCATGAGGAAAGGAACTTTTCCCTGCATTAAAGAAGTCTCACAAATGCACTGTTTATTTTCTTTTAGAATTCCAACAAGTAAACATCTCTCTACCAAAATTTATTTCAAAGCCAGGACTAAAAAGGAGTAAACGGCAGGTATGTATTCACAGATATCTAAGGGGTGATTGAAAAATGTGGTGAATATTTAAATTTTAAAACATTTATTACAGTAAAAGACATATTGCCATTAATACCTTTTATATAGTTTTTTTTTTTTTTTGGTACCTGGATTGAACTTGGTACTTTGTGCTTGCGAGGCAGGTGGCGGAACCACAAAGCTAAATCCCCGGCCCAGTACCTTTTATATACTGTTCTCACTTCGAACACAGTCATCCCATCCTCCTTGCCACTTTCTGTAGTAGTTCTGGAAACCCTCTTACATGTATTTACGAGGTGTAATAAAAAAATAGGTGAATGCTTCCCCAGGGTACCACTCAATGGAAAGGCAGGCGAATAAAAACATGACAGCGTGTCCCCGTCTACGTTCCTCACTGCTTGAATCCTAGCTCTTCCCCAAAGTCAAATGGCCATGAAAGGTAAACGTTTTCTTTTCTTTCTTTCTTTTTTTTTTAATTAAATTCTTTTATTGGTACGTTGTAGGTATACAACACAATTACATTTCTCATTGGGAATTGTACCTTTACATAATGCATCTTGGTTCT